CCTACCTGGCAATAAATCTGATTCGGATTCTGATTCGGATTCGGATTCTGATCAAAAGAGACAGAAGGTGAGGAAACTGAAATACCCAGCAGACCACTTGTGTTAAAAAAAGGAGCTTTGATGGATTACATGACAGTAAATGAATATTCCTGAGAAGATAGGCGTCTCATTCAGTAGTCAGGAACAGCTCTCTATTTGTCACCTCTTTGCTCTTCTTTATGCCAATGACACCACAGGGGGATGATAACAACTCCGTAGCAGCAAGGTTGATATAATTATACAGACACTCAGGAATAATTCACGGGGACTGTGTACATTGTCCATAGTCAGATTATGCTAACCTTAAGTAGAAAGGTTCTCCAGAGGTGCTTCAAAGTTGTGCAGATGCAATTTAATGGCTGACAAAGATGCTATAATCTGTCGAGTGATGTGGTGTGCCAGCAGGTTTCTGTTTCCATAATAAGTTTTGACTTTGAAGAATGTGTAAGTCAGAGGGGAAAGGTAAGTCTCTAATCAAATACTGCCCAAATAATGGTAGCGCTGTAGCCAATTATAATCACAGCCAGGCCTTAGTGTAACTGTGCTGACAGTGCGTCTTGTTCAAAAGCAAAAATTGTGACATATGATTTTTTTCCACCATTCTTAGAAAGCTGTCTTGTTAAGAAATGCAATACACTCAACCACAAAACAAGAATACTGGCACTGAAGTCTTCATTGTGACCTTATAGCAGAAGTTCAGCATTCTTTTTGCACTAAAATATAAATCTGCCATAAGCATTTTTTTAAATTTGTTTGCTCTCTTTGATGGTTTATGACGTTATTTATACATTGAAGGAATACTTTAATATTTTGGGAAATATTTTGTTTTGCTTAATTGACATAGAGATTGGAAACAGGGAAGCTAGCCTGGTAATTCCAAAGGTAATACAATCTGCCTACCAGCACCTCTGAAGTTTACTAATTTTCACTAATTAGCATTTTATATCTTTTTGGTGAATAGATTTTGTTACCTTTGGACGGAGTCAAGCAATTTCCTTATGTTCAGATAAGCTAACTGGCTGCTGGCTCTAGCCTTATATCTACCAGACAGATGAAAGTGGGTTTTTTGAATGAAAAAAATCTTATTTAGACTGTAGATTACTGATGAATTACTGACAACTGTGCAATGATGTGTTACATTTCCAAATGTGCTTTCCTTTCAATGCAGTTAATGTTTTCTCTATCACATCGTTTGTTTTCAGAAGTCTAATCATTGCTGATTTATTATCGACCCAGCTTGATCAGAAGAAAACAGTCTGGCTTTAACTCTATCTCTGGTCTGAAACTCTGAACTCCCCAGCTTAATTTATGTCTACTAAAAGATGAATTGTTTGCAAACCAAACATATCTCCCATCTGTCCTTTGGCTTAAAGTCTCTAATCAAGCTGGAACTTGCAACATTCCAGTATTGAATTAATGTAGCAAAGTCAACAGCCCTGTCCTGCTATCAGTATTCGGCATGAAATGTGTGGAGATTTAAAATTATGAGCAGGCTTCCCATGGTTATCTCAGAAAAACCTCCTTGGAAGAAATGATTCAATTTCTGTGCCTCCATTTGAAATGTGTGCATTCGTTTTCAGCCGCTTAAAGAAATGGAAATCGGCAGGCAGGAGAATTACTGTGGAAACACCCTCTTAGCCGCAGCTTGCTCTGGTACAATGCTTTGAAAATCCCTTTAGAGTCTGTAGCACACAGAGGGTGGACCCCTCAGGAGGAAAGTAGAGGGGAGGAGATGATAATGAGTAAAAACGGCTCTCACAGCTAACAGGTTAAATGCTTTCCAAGTTAGAAAGTGGAAAACCAAAGCATAAATATCCACTTTGTATTTCATCAATATGGTCCCATCTATCATAACTCTTTAATGTTAAAACAGACAGAGCTCTAGCAAAGTGACTATTGATCAACAGCAATCAATAACTTGTGTTCCTGGGTGACTGCAATGTCTGGCAGCATACAGCATGCTCTATCATCAACGCTCAGGCCAAAGCTAAGCGTCTCTGATCAACCCACCTTCCAAACAGATAGGATCAATAAATCAATAACTCAGCAATTTGCAAAACAAAAAATCCCTCTCCTCATCAGCCAATTTTTAAACTGCATGTTTTTTTTTCCATTTTTTTGACTGGCTTAATAGAGAGAGACAGAGAGCTTGACATTTATAAGTTGTCTTTGATTTCATGTCAACATTTGATGACATAATGTGCTTTACACTAGGGGGAGACAAAGACCCTTCGCAGATGGACAAGCATTGTGTACAGCAGATTACATGATTAATCATTTAAGGTCATTTTTTACAACGTCAGAATCAAATATGGTTGCAACTCTTTTGGCCATTCTCAGGCAAAAAGTGAGAAAGCGGTGGCTACACTTTAAATACATCAACTACATGCCGGCATGTTTTTAAAAAACATATGTGCAGACTGCTTTATCAGTGCGTTACTGAGCTACTAAATCCCTTCCTATTATTGGTGACACCTCATGTGATTACCCATTTCCATTTACAAACAAAGAAAATTAACTCCAAATTAAGAGTGTTTATATTCACTGATAGTCTGCGCCCTTGGTGTGATGTGACTTGAAATGCATACCAGAGCACCGAGGCAGTTGGGGCCTGGTGGTTTAATTGAAACATATATTTGTAGAATGTGGGCCATATTACTGGGTTGTATCCTCAGGGAGGCACAGTGTAACAATAGAGAGGGAAGAAGGAGAGACACAAAGAGGAGGAGAGAGAGAGAGCGGGGGGGGGAGGGTCACTGAATTGCACTTTCACAGTAGATCTCAAAGCCATAATGCTATATTGTTGGAGAGTTTATGGGATGTGTCACACAATCAATAACCAATTTATGGGAACTTGATGGAAGAATAAAGGGTGCACTTGTTACATTACCTATTTGCCATTCAGACTATATACCTGACCTTGGTAGGTTGGTGGATGCATTCCTTCTGTTCCGGGATAGTCAATCAAGCCTCTTCCGTTGCTCTTGTAGCAAAGCGTGCTGGGTGACTGGTGGCTTTCCGCACATTTTTGTGCATAGAAGTAATAAACCACTCTACATTTTTTATGGCTGAGCATAAATGAGTGTGTTTCAACTATCGCAGGGTAACATCTTCACCAAGCAATCTGCCTTGCTACAGGCATGCCTGGGTTGCTATAACAACAGCTGCTGCTATATCTGTCACTGCTGTGGGTCACGGCTAGCTAAAAGAGCAATGTACATCACATCTCTCCCTAAGTGCCAGTCTTTCTCCTTTTCTCTCTTCAAGCACCTTTAGCTTTTGCTCTCTTTCTTTGTGTTCCACAACATTTCTGACCATGTCTGGACCAGCTCTGCATAAAACTCTGCTTCACAGAACTGCATCTCAGCTCTGTAGGACTGACAATTAAAATTCACTGAGTTTAAAAACAAGTAAAAACAAATCGAAAGTCTTGTTTGTTAGCTGTATTAATGAGAGCTGGAAACACCAGACAGAACACCAGAGGTACTTATTGTAGTTCATTTAGAGGCCACGTTTTTCCTTTCAACACCACCACCATCACAGATAATAAGGACAATACAAGACAGAAGCTGCTGAGAGTCAATACTGCATTTGTCTCTCAACATCCGGTAAAAGTCTCAAAGTGGAAGTGAAGTCTAAGAACTTTTCAGTAAACAATGGAGCTTCAACACACATTGTGGAATGCATTGTATTTAATTGATCAAAAGCAGCCCACTCACACAGGAGATATATCTGTAACAGACAATGTGACAGTGTGGTATGATTGAGTCACAAAATATATACATTTCTTCAGTGTTGTACTGCAGAAATAGGCACACATTTAGTCTCAATAGCAATGCCACTGTAGAACACCAGCAACAGTCAAAGCTTAAGAATAAATTGTAACTGTACGCAGTAAGACTTAACCTACCAATTGTACTTTGACATCAGTGCTGAACATGGATTAAAGATTTATACAGAGGAGAGGAGAGGATAGGAAAGAGCTCTAGATGAAATCAGATCAACTGAAATAAAGTGATTGGATACAATATAATCTGTTTTTGTATATTTCCATTACATTGTGGTTTCACTGATGCTCACAGCAAAACAGAGAGAAATGCACATCCATACAGTATAAAAGCTTTGCAATCCATTTTCATTAAAAATACAGTAAAGATAATAAGATAAGATATTGGCCAATCCAAATAAAACTGTGACTCAAAATCTCAGCGTGGTCTATAAAATTGTAATAAAACAAAACAAGGACTAGATAGTGAGTGTATAAATTGTGTATAACAGCTTTGACAGCAGTAGGAGAGAGTCTTTCCTTGGAACTTTTCTGTTTAAAGGTTATAAATCACAGAGGCACCACTAACTACTAAAATGATTAGTAACCCTACACACTGACATGTCCAAATGAAGCATAGCTGGTATTTATCTGATAAAAAGGGCAGGACACAGACATTTTTGTTCTTTAACCTGCTGTATTTGTGAAAGCACTTGATTTCAGATGCCTGGCACGAAGGTAAAAAGAGGAGAAAAATTGAGCACTTGGACAGTTTTGACTGACTCTTCACAAGACACAGTCGATACACAGGGGAGGTCGGTTGGCAGGATTCCCATGGATGTTTGAGAGCAATGCTACCTTCATAGTGGCATCGATGAGGGCTGTGGAATATATGCCTGTTTCTGTCACATGACAACAAATTCCCACCGGGATTGGTTAATACCTAAAAAGAGCAGAGAACATGTTCCTTCTTATTCAATAGGAATGATTTATATGCTAAATAATCATATCACCAATATTAAATATACAAATTCAAAATCGGAAACAACAGTGTCGTTTAGGACTGTACTTCATATACATGCAAATCTCATACATTTTAGATTGCTCTAGTTTACTATTTTCACTTAGTGCCAAAGAATACTCTTACCATACATACTGTGTATTCTGAAGCCTAATTTAACACTAATTACCTTACATCAAACACATTCTAACATTCCTTACAGTAAATATTTGATAGTGAGAGAGATTGAGTGGGGAATGAGTATGAATGGAGGACTTGTGATTCAGTGAGAATTCCAAAAATGGCAGGAATGAAAGCCCTTTTGAAGAGAACGAGCAAGAGGAGATACATGGTGTGTGGAAGCAACAGGACAGCACTACAGAACTGCACCAATTTATGGTAATGAGTAATACAAGTACAGAAAATAATCAGAAAAAGAGGGGGATGATTTCACTGATTTGTATCAGGGTGAGAGAGTCACATGTAAAATACCGTGTCATTGAAAACCATTTTTATTCGGTAACAGGAGCGGCTGGAGTGGCTTTCTGCTCAGAGGGGATGGCTAGGTAGTTTGTCCTGCAGGCAGATTGGTAGAAAAAACAGAGGAGTGTCTAAGAGCTTGTGGTAGGGTCCTCTTCACCACCGTATACCACAGACTAGTGTTGGTTAAGGTTTGAACAGCACTAACTACTGTGGAACATGACTGAATATCCTTCATTTTGAGCCTGTGCACTCACATTAGTCCCTAACATGTAATGCCCTGAGGGAATGAATTGTAAACGATGAAAACCTTTTTTTTTTGCTCATAGTTATTTTGAACATAGCACAACACACAAAATGAAATCAACGATAATCCTCTACATACACTTAATGAATAAATCCCCATAAACAACACAAATTAAAACTTACATGTATAAAAAGGAGTAGGAGGAAGTAAACCTTCACTGTAATGTGAGCAGTGGGGAGCTACTGTACAGGCTGCACACCCCCCTCATACAGTATTTAATAGTAAACGTTAAATACTTTCACTAAAAATGGACCCAGTTAAATAGAGCTGCACAGAAACTGTGTAGACGAAGCAAAATTTAACAATAGTGAAAAGAGTTTTGTGACTCCATCAGCAAATTTCAAACATAGCCTCATTTTGTATCTCTTTGACAAATTATCACTTTTGCTGCTGCGTTCCATCTTGTCCCTCAGTAACATGACTAATATGATCTGAGCCACTAATGCATCACAAAATGTCACCTCAAAAGGTTCTCGCCGTGGTACATATCCATTAAGCCTGGGTAGCTAAGAATCCAAACAAAAAACAGCCTCTTTGAGTGGGTGTAGTGTCTCACTGTGGGATGTGTTGTCATACAGGTCAATAATGGCTAAGAGGTGGCCACAAGCCTTTCAACTGCAGGCACTGATGAAGTTATACACATTCAATCACTGAATGCTTAACTTAATGTACACTCTGGATCTGTTCATGGATCAATACAACTTTATCTAAATGCTGAGGGCAAAGTGGATGTAATTTTTACATTAAATTTAAATTTGTATTTCTTTAAACCAATCACACACAGTCATCTGTGGTGCGCTACACCCATGATGGCTGCCCTTGCAAAATAGTGCCAGAAGATAGCGGAAGGGGAGGAGAATGTCGACTGAAATAGTCGCCCAATGGCAGGCCTATATTAAAAGCCTACTTCCTGTGAGCCAGAATAGAGTACCAGGCCTGTTAAATAAATAAATATATAAATAATTCAGTTTATATCATAAACATTCAATGATTAGTCGACTAATGGCTTAAAGTAACAACTACTCGATCAGAAAAATCTTTAGATAGGGGCAGCCCTGTTTAACATATTATTGCGAATATACCTACCACACAATCAATGAAATACAGAAAAATACTATACAATCTCCTGAAATGGATACTAACATTGTGAATCTCATATTGTTCAGTTTTAGGTTATTCAGGTGTTAATTAGGGTTGCAACTAATGATTACTATTATTATGGATTAATTATTGATAATACTAGTAATCATTAATAAAAACACTGTATGACTGCACTATATTGTATTGCCGTACATTTCAGGGCTTTTCTGTTATGCGTTATTGTGTTCACCCCCTGTATTCTTCTTCTGAAAACATACACAGTGTCAGAAATACATTGTGCAGTACTGGAGCTCTATGTGTCACTGCAGGAGTTAGATTTGGAATCAGGATTAATTGTCCATAAAACCACAATAACCGGATCAGCGTGTGTGCTGTGTGTTATCTGTGATTGTTCTGTTCACAATATAAATTGCCTGTTCAAAAGTTGTCGACCTGGATCAACTGGCCTTGTCAATACCATGACAATCCAGTGGGAGCTGACTGTACAGGTGCATTCGGGTCCTTTGTCAGTGCTGACAAGGTGATGCAAAAAGTCAGTTTCTGGTGGAGCTGCAAATCCACCACGAATGTAAAAAGGTTGTTAAGAAAAAAGAGCAGTCAGCAGCGCTTGGAATTATTCAGGCCTGTCAGGCAGTCTAAGTAAAAAGACAGATTACTTTTGCAGGAGGGTTACAAACTGATGCAGTTTAGACTCAATTACCTTGTCTGTATGTCTGTCCTGTCTCCCCCCCCCCCCCGGGTATTGGGCTCTCTTCCTCTTGACTGCTTTCTAAATCTCTCTTTCTGAGGTTTTAAATTACTTTTAAGTGAGGCAGAAACTCGGGCATAAACAGGTAACACTTTCACTTATTTGGCTCACACTGTGTTGGAGACTCATAATATGAACACACTGCCTAGCTGTCTTGTGAGACATAGAAAAGAGAACGTTAGAACACATATGTATCTGGACATGTCACACACAGTGTTTCACAGCCATATTCAGTTGTACTGTATTTATTTGTGTTTTCATCTGGCTGTGCATCTGTACATTTGTGTGGGACTCACGCTGTGTCCTGTGCCTGCTCATCAGACTTGGAGATCTTCCTGTAGCAGTAGACCATCTCTACCAGCAGCCAGAAGGTCAAAAACACCAGCAGCACATACATCATGATCTCAGAGTAGAGCGCTGTGGTGTCTTGACTGGCTGTGAAGCACAAACAACAGCAAGGAACATGTTTTATTCAGTGTGCATCCTACCTCTGAATGTTTTTTTTTTTGTGTTGAATAAAGCAGGGGAGACCTATTCATTCCCAGGATTTAGAACGTTGCTAAGCTTGTTCATGTATGTGCAACATTGTTGACCCACAAGCAACTGTCAGTCATAATAGTGAAGGCAATATTTCTCTAATATACTTCAACTGTTTACTTTCATTTCACTTAATGAAGTCCAACTCAGTATAAACAGTAGTTATTACTATGCAGCTGAACTTAAAGCAAAGCAAAGGCATGTTTTTTGGTGTGCATCCTGTTCAAAGATGCACTTTCAATATGATGCACAAACTATGTCGCACACACAACATTATGACATGGTCATTATACCTGTAGTACAATGATAATAGAGTCTAGAGAGTTGAAGGTGCCCTGTGGAGTTTTGCTGTAAACAAACAAAAATAAGTTTACATTCAGTGTTTATTACTAGAAGGCATTGTGCATATCCTTGCATGTCAATTTCCTTTCTCATAAAATATTTGCAGAGCTTTGTTTACATCCATGTTTGCTTGCAAACAGTCTTCTTCACTGTTCTTGTTGCATCATTGCTACTATTTGTTTGTGCCATCAACAACTGCCAGTGAATGGAATTGCGCTAGGCACCACTAGTGGCCACAAACTCCACAGGGTTCCTTTAAATATGAAATAAGATGGATATACAAAGTCACAGTGGTTCTCAGGGCATGACAGATAGGTTTAAGTTTATGAAAACTTCATAATTGGTCATATTTTGCATACTTTGCAATGGACTTGTAGGAGGAAGTGAAAATTGCACAAAAAGTTGTGATTCGTTTTTGTATTATTCATTAAAAATTGAAAGCAATCTTAAAATCGCTAGTAGTTTGGTGGTGTACGACTCAGCGTTTTGCTCGGAGGACTGCTATGACTGGTGAAAATCTTTGGAAACTACAACGTTTAGTCAAATTTGAGGAAAAGTTGTGTTTATTGGACAAAACTGCAAGGTCCCGCAGAATCATGGGGATTGGTTGAATTTACAAGCTGTATCTCTGTTTTAATTGCTTTATCGACTTGCCTCCTGTCACTACCTCTTGGCCAGGTTGTCATTGTAAATGAGAACTGGTTCTCAATTGACTTGTCTTATAATGGTAAAATTAAATAAAAAATAAATAAAAAGGGATCTTTTAATGGCAAGTAAGAGCAGGAGGAATGATTACAGCAACTTAAAGCTGCTTAAACTTTATAAAATATGAAGCTATCCTTTAATATCTTACATTGCAGGATCATTATGAACCACTGTGAACCACTGTGCCAGTGAGCGTGTACCAAATTGCAGAAAGCCTGCTGACCAGACAGTTGACAGCTTTCACTGATACGATTCTGCAGCTTCTGCAAATAGAGGCTATTAGTGTAATATAATCCCTTTAGATGGGAAAGCACAGATATGTTTGCCGTGAGATAATCCATTTTACTGCTATGGACATCATTATCGTAACATGATTCCCAAGCTATAATGTACAGTACACTGACTGACGGCTTTGTGAAATTTGATACCACAGTAGTATGGGATGTGAAGGAGAGGCTTTTATATATGTATAGAAAATCAAACTAGTATATTTTGGAAAGTTGCACTTCGGAGGATAATCACATCTAATTTGCACTCTGGGATACAACTAGCCTACCTTTATATGCCTCTGACAGTGAACTATATACCACGTGCAAGCAGATTTAAATAATGTAAAGATAAAGAAATGGGGAGTATTAACTAGTTCCAAATATACATGTTGTATTGTATATTCGATCATGAATGACACATTCAGCAAGCCAAGCATTCGGGAAGCAGAATACATTACCCCTTATATTAGAAAGCAAAGTAGTTGGTTTGAATTAACCCCTTCACTGACAACAGAAGAAAGCTTTGATGAACGATAAAGGTAGACAAAGCACAACACATAATTATTCCTCTTTAGTACAGTCATAACAAAGGGGAGAGAAGGAAAGTGGTGTTGTTAGTGGCAGACTGCCCTCACACTGAAGCATCACTTAGTGAAAACAACGAGTTGGAAATAGATAATAAAATGCAAAATCCATTTAAAGCGGTCTGATAAACACTTTATGCAACATGGAAGGAGGGGCATGTACAGCACAAAGAGAGCACTCAGTACACAGAAGTCAACACAGCACAGACGAGTGTTTCTACCAGGAGGGATTGTAAATCAACACGCCTGAGTGGAACCTCTCCAGCATATACTGTGTGCCGCTGTATCATCATCATCGTCATCATCATCGTCATCATCATCATCATCATATGTAACATAATAGCTGGGCCACTCAGCACTAAAATTTGCAAAACTGCAGTGAAATTATGAGTTATGCTGTCCTGAATCTGCAAAGCAAACTCTTTGGATTAAATTTACCTCAGTTCTGAGAATATTGGTTAGAATAAATCTGTTCTACAGATACTGTAAACCCTGAGGGATAAAGATATTTTACACAGACTAATGCTGGGAAGATATTGGATAAATTTTGCAGTACAACCACTCCTGCTGAGACACTGCTGAACCACCAAGAGCTTATATTTATATTAAGCCCAAATATGAATTATATATTTGCTTTGGGGCTGCCTTTTTAAAAATGTTGAAATAAAACACATTTGTGATGCAGTTGATTAGACAGACTGGAAAAAAACAGCTTAAGTGTCATTTGTTAGATGTATATCTCCTGGGACTGCTGTCTATTTTTAGTAACTTCACAGAGGCATGCCTCTGCCTGAAAACAACAGCAAACAGAAGTCTGAGGTCTGATTAACCTAGCTAACCTTAGCTTTAGATCTGGAATAACTGATTCATCTCAGCAAAGAATCACAGCTGGACTTTACCTGCTGTATACAGAAAAGAATTTGGCTAAACCAGAGCACAAACAGGGCAAAATAACATGGAAGAAAGTGGAAAACTATTAGCCGCACCTTGCGCTTTCACCCTCAACTTGATGTCCTTGGTGAGGAAGACCGAGGGAGTGAAGAAGTCAAACTCAAACTTGCGAAGTACGTTGCACTCGAATACACCGGTGTCATTATAAGTGACGTTGACGATCAGGATGGAGACGTCTTGCAAGTCCTGGCTCCCAGTCCAGTTCAGACGGCCCTTAAATGGTCCGTCCAATTCAACCTGTTTGTCATCCTCATACCTGAATATCTATGAGAGAGGAAAGGCAAGTGGGCATGCATAAAATATATACACTGTATATGTATGAAAACACAGATCACGTGTCATATCATATACAAAATATATCAGCAACCTACATGAGTTTTGTTGGGTTGGCTGTCTTTTTCTTTTGTTGGCATGTAGTACCAATCCACAAACGTCTTTGCTTTGATCTCCTCCCTCTTCATACAGGCGATGCAGGTCAACTTCATGGATTTCCCCAGGACTGCTTCTGTCTCCGAGGGGACATCGACACATACTGGCTGGCTCAGGTGGACTGGAGGAGCATGGAAACGTTACACACATTTAACTCAGCAGGTAGCCTAATGAAAGCTCAGTCAAAATGTCCAAGTTTAAAGTCCCCTTCCAGTCAAAAATGTGTTACTTCACTTGGATGTTTGAGCTTTACTGTGCAGAATGCAGGCTGTTTTCACATTAATCTGATTAAAGTTTATCTGTGCTCATAAGTACAATATGATTTGGGAGTATCACAACCAGTTTGGAAGCCAGTCCTGGTCCAATACGCAACGCACAAAAATATAATGTGGAAACCTCCAGTGCACAGACACTTGGACTTTTCATTGAAGTAGGAGAAATCAAGTTACATTTCTGAAATAAAAACAATATTTGCACACTCATAGATTTTGGATTTTTCAATGAAAGAGAATTAGTAATTTCTTAGAATTATTAACAAGTTAAATTAACATTCTTGTGGATCAGGATTATCATTCAAAGATTTTATAGGTCTTAAAACATGTTTGGAGGGAAGCTTGAACTGCTCTTTAACTAGTTTATCAGTAATAACACACCACAAACTGAAACATTTAAACAATTTACTGCAGGGGATTTTGAGGGCGATCTTCAATACTCATCACTGAACATAACAGTTGCCTCAAAGTAAAAGCCTTTCAAAGTAAAAGTGGTTAAAGACGCAGCTATAATTCATCATGTACAAATTTTACAGTCTTTTTTTGCGTATAACAAATTACCACGGTCAGTGACATTTTCAGCCTTTGTTCAACGACTGTGAGAATACAACTAGGCACACTGCTGTAACAGGCACAGTTTTTATCTGTAGTAATAAACTCATGGCCCAGTCTTTCTTATTGAGGTCCTCAGCTCTTGCACTCTCTGCTGACATTCAACCCTGTTCTAAAACAAGACGCAAAACTCACTAAGCGTTAAAAAGGCATAAATTCAATTATACAGTTCTGTGAGCAGTGGAAAGACTTGAGTCACAATACTGATAGCAAATCCAAAATCATCCAGGCCAATAAACACTAATGATGGCCTCTGCCCATTAGTGTTAGCTGGCAGAGGGAGGAATAAATGGAGGGAGGGAGGGAGGGTTAAATGCAGGGACTGTGAATAGTGTAGGAGGACATCAAAGTAGGAAGAAGAGAAATAAGTGATTGATAAATAAGTGCATTACAAGTGATAGAATAATTAGAGAAGGCAGGAAGCGGATGATAACATGGAGGGAAAGAATTGAGGGGATTATGAACACAAAGATTGGATTTCTTGCACTGTGAAGTGAGGCAGTAATCTCTGTAAGCTCTCGCCACATGGATGCCTTTTGTGACTGTTGCTGTGTTGGGTCCAGTGCTCTTATATAACCCAAAGCCCCCCCTAGGCAGACAGTGACAACATCGATTCCATCTCATCCTTTTCATCTCATACAAACACATGGAAAGAGGAGAGAGAAACAAGGAAACAGAGAGCTGGAGAGGAAACTAGAGAAAGGGGGAGGAGAAGGGGAAAATAAATAAACATTGTTGTGTCCTCTGTTCAATGGATTGATTTATTTCACTAAAATGCTGACAACAGTGAGCGGTGCAGCACTGGGCTAACCTCAGTGGGACTCTGAAACTGGGTTTTGAGTTCACAGCCAGCTGGAAGGTTCACAAACCATTAACAAGGCCCATGATTACTCATCTATTATGAATCTGATGGAGTAAGACATGCAACATTCACAGGCAAACAAGATATTTGAACACAGTTATACTTACCAACAAAACACAAAAGTACCAAAGTTTGCAGATGAAGTCTTTGAGTTACCATATTAAACTCTTCCTGGTGCTACTGGTGGACAGTGTCCCTCTAACTTTCGCTTTCTGTGAAGTTGTCTTGCCAGAAAAAAAACAAGACAGGGAGTTGTTGAGATGACTTCAGGACCACGGACAGCGCCTCTCCTCGGCAGATGGGCGCGCAGGTAACTTTCCACTAAAAATCCCAACACTCTGGTTTTTAAAAAAAAGCAGGATTTCAAACTACAAACGGTATAAAAGAGTTGTAGAAACGAGGCTGTGAGGTATCTACGTGCTCATCTATGGGCTGAGGTCTTCCAGGAACACCCTAACTCGCCATTCAACATCTATCTAGACATAACTAACTACATTATTCCCTCCGCTCGATGAAATAAGTCCGTGATGTGGGACAGTTCCTGGTCCACAACTGCTGTCATTCAGTCCAAATCCATCCAGAAAACACAAGAAGAAAAAGAAAATAAGCTAAGAGGAGGAACCTGTGGATTCTCACAAGCCGATATTGTCACTTACTGTTGCGAGATGTGGAGCCTTGTTCACTCACGAACAGCAAAAGCAGTGATACTGGTTCTCTTATTTCACCTCTCAAAGAAAAATACTATTGATTGTTTGAAGTCTATTTCCTCTATCAAAGATGACTGATGACATTTCCCAGCCGCGGCTCACTGCCTTTGTTTTCCAGCAGTCACTTAGAGCTGGCAGCGCCGGGGCTTTGATACGCATGCGTGAGTCACTCCCTCCTAGACTACAATGTGGTCATGCACATATTACTGTCATTTGGGAAGGCCTAACCAACTCACGATGCAGCCTGTTTGCATTTGCTTTTGACTGCCGGAGCTAAACAAACAAAACCCAGCGTCTCAGTATCTACAAACCAAATACAAATCAGTTTTCAGCTTAAGAACAACAATGAGACAGCACTCCTTTTGTCATGTGTTATATAATCTTGTTTAGCAGCTGCTAGCAGAGCCCTTTTTATTTTATTTGTTACACATAAATACTTGCATTATGCCTACTTCCCAAGTCTTAGACCAAGGACGACATTAGGACCAGTTTCTAGAAGATATAGTGGTTCAACTGCAGTCTTTCTGTAGTATAACATGTTGTAGCCACAAGTTAACATTAGAGACATACAGGCTTACAAAGTGTATATACTGTACACAATATGCATGCAAATCTACTTTTATCTACACATAAAGCATCAAACAGTTTATCACATTGCCCGAATCCGTACTTTGAAATCATATAAATACCAAGCACACACACAGGCCAATCTATATCTTGTGCATACTGCAGCAATGGAGCTGATAAAATAATGTGCAGGACACAACTCACTAATCTAATGATCTTTTATCCTCTTGAGTTTAGCCTTAAAAGGGCCTGACCTTTTCTGCGATATTCAGTCTATATTTGGGTACAAACTGGTCCATGCTGGATGACTGGGCTCCAGCAACAATTGGTCTCTCTTTTCTTCTCATCTTTGATTCCCTTTTCTTTAATAATTTAAAAGATATACAATGTTAAATATCTGAAATATTTTTACTAATTCAGTTGCAATGATTCAGTGATTTGGGTAGAAAAAGAAAGAACCTTATTTCTGTCCATCACACCAACACAACCTGCTGCAGAGAGGACTGAAGTGACTGCTGAACAGTGTAATTATATCACCTTTTTTTCTCTCACTGGAAGCTGCAGTGATTTGACTCTCTTGTAAAAGGCTGAAAGATGTGATGAGAATGCAATGAAATGGCCAACAGACTGAATCCACTTTTTGCCTTTCCCCCATCTTTCTCTTTGTCTCTGTAGATCTGTGGTACATCCAATATGAATATCTTTTCTTTTTTATTGGCATCCATTATTTGTTTTAATCTTTATGTATTCCATTGGACATAAAAAGGGTTATATGCTGAAATTGTTTTATATAATCTGTTTGATTTGCTCACAAGAAAGAAAATCTACTTATCCGGCTTCTAAATTCAACAGAATATAGGGTCATGATATCAAATATTTCAAAGTAATTCCATCAGTATTATGCTAATTATATGCAAACATATGTCTCTAAACTTGAGATATGCTGTTTCTACATTTTGATCTTTATGTCACAAACTAAATTCTTTTCTTTCATCTCAAATATTTCCGAGACACCCACCAAGAAATCAGGATTACTGTCATGTTTGATTTTGTTATCTGTCAACTCTATGAAAGAACAAAACATGTTGAGATGAACCCATGACATAACATCCTCAAGCCTGAAAGATGATAATCTCACTGTGACATCACAGCATTTAATCTTGCATTGTTGCCATTGTATCTGGAGTAACAAGCGGATTACTCCAGAGGAGAACAAGAATCAAGGGTTTTAGAATGTCAGCATTATTTATTTCTTTTAAAAGGGCACAAGAAATAAAAAGGTAAAAAATGTAAATTTCTGTTTTGTAAACATCAAAATAAGTATGCTTTGAGTGCATGTTGTGTTAGAGCTGTAAAAAACTGAAACTGTTGAAAGAGTGAATCCACAGGTTTATGCGGTAATGCTTAGTAGTCGTAGTCGCTGCAGATTTTAATGTAAAAAGAACAGCAAAGAGAAAGCTGAGTGCACTCTTGTGTTGCTGTCAGCATCAGCAGTAGGCTGGCACTCTGAGGAGCAGACTAAATATGGCAGGCCTGGTTGAACCACATCCTGCAGATAAGGAAACCATAGCAACAGTAATGCAGTGCCATGGTGACGACAGGAGGCCTGCTTAGCGACAGCCCTGCAGACTCAGGAAGACAACAAGCCTCAAACCCAGCTCTCATTTTCACAGGCATCCTATGTGTTTGATTTACTTTCTAGAAAAAGAAAGGGGTGAATAAATAATGTGTTTTTACTCTTTAGGTGTTGCTCTCTTTTCAGGTATAAGGGCTTTCACAGCAGGGTGCACGAATCTTTGTGATGAATACAGCACATTTTGAGTATTTTAGGGTAAACTTATCCCAAAGACAGTACTAACTCCAAAACAAGAAGGCAAGAGGACAGTTTTGTGTGGTGAATTTCAGCCAAACATAGTTTACATAAAGTAGTGAGTAATTTCAATCTCTGTGTATAAATAAGTGGGTTAGAGAGAGAGTGTGTTTTGCACATGTATACATCTGTGTGTGTGCGAACGTCCCCTTGAGGATGTTGCAGAGAGCAGATTTCTAGGGATTTGGAAGGATTTCAAGATTATAACATGATTACAGCAGACAGCCATGGATGAAACATGTTGGAAATTGAGATGTAAATATCATGTGCAGCTTAGAAAAACCTCTTAACGCTGGAATGTGGACAGTATAAGAAGGACTTTACTCATCTCTCTAAACATCTATAATCTATACTCATCCATTCCATCCAGCTGTATCTATACATCAAGCACTCTACTCAATATGTGTGAAATATCTTTGGATTGGGACATTATGGTGTGTGTATACTGTATATGTTCATATTTATGTGCATATACTCACACAAACAGTGTTCCTAAAAATAACTCCCATGTTGATCAAAACAACTAGAGCAAACATAATGTTATACCACTGAAAATCACCAAACAAAGACATATACACACATGGCTCCAGAGCAGCTCAGCATGGAGTTATATGATGCCATGTCCCACTGTGAGGCAGACACACAGACCAGGGCAGTGGCACATAGCAGCTAATCTAATTGATAAGGCATATAATCTCAGGGAGCCACTGAACGATACACCGCTTATGCACAAACACACACACACACACGGCTACTGGGCAATGCCAGAGGGGACTTGGCACAGGGCTCTTAGCTAATACTGATAGTAAGTGAAGACTTGTTCCATCTGACCTTCTGATTTGGCTCACAGCCCCCTGTAGGAATACTCACTTTCTATTATAAGACCCAGAACCCTGCGTGTCAGATAAACTATCGAACCAGAAGAAGGCAGAAGTCGTGCAGCATAGACTTCACTTCTGCTGCAGATCCAACAGGATTTCAAGTTTAGCTACTTTTGCTTTGACTTGGTTAACCTGTCAGGGGTAGATCAAGAGAAATATTAACGGGGTGGCAAAAGGGCAGTATGGAGATTTTAGGTAGTGTCAGAAATATATGCTGATTTAATCACAAACAATTGCATATATCAGTATTTGCTTGGAAAAGCCCCAAATTAAGATATTTGAACTCAAAACATTACATTATTGTGGAACATTAGTAAAACATTGAATATAAATATCTAAAGGTGGCATTCAGAAATCAATAAATTGTTTTATTTCCAAATATTCAGACAATTTTCCAAATAGATGTCTTTTTTTCATTGAACTGAAGCCTATCACTTTGTCTAAAATGTGACCGTAACAGATCATTAAATTATATATTTTTTAATATTTATTATATAATCTAAATTAATGTGTTAAATTTGACAGCATTTAACACCAGCTGGGGTGGCTTGGCATTTTTCACGGGCGGCAAATGCCACCCCATGCCATCCCTCTTAGTCCACCCCGTAACCTGTTGGTCACAGAGAAAGTTCACTATGATGAAAAGGGCTTGAAGAACAAAGGTTAGACGACCTGCATGTGTGCGAAACAGAGAAAGGAGGAGGCAGTTATTGTAGTTCAAGATTAAATATTCATGAAGACATGTAGGTCATCACCTCTACACAAGCAGGTTGTTGTTATGAGCAGGAACCAACACAGAAGCACGAGTGTCACCTTGTGTTCATTCAGCTGAAGTTTATTGTCTTAATTAGAATATGGTAATGAACAAAGCCTGTCTTAGAGACCAGTATAAACTCCTGACTGAGAAACTATTTGAACAAGATGATAGACTGTGTCACACCGCTGCTTGTTGCCAGAAATTATTTCTGTCCGGGATCACAGATAATTAAAAAGAACACAGCTGTATTGTTTAAAAGCTGGTGCAAATTAAGACAGAGGTCACTCGGCTCATACCTCGTCAAACACAAGATAATATTACACTGTGTGTAGATAAGCTATTTTAGGCTCAGCATGAAAAATCAAAACAAGGAGGGAGACAGAGAAGTGATGATGAGAGAACCGCATAAAAACAACACATTATTCAGCATTTATCTACATTCAGATCCAGCTTCTGACCAGTAGGCCCCAGCATGTCATCAACATCTGTATGTCCAGTTGTATTTTTTATTGTGATGTGAGTGTTTAGTTCCTGCTTCCCTGTGACATTAAGATGCAGCTGATCTTGGCTCTTTAGCATCTGGCAGCCCAGTAATGTGCCAGGGTTGTTGCTCTGGACTGTGTCACTCCTCTGCTGGTCAGAAATATGACTCTCAGCTTTATAGTTATTGCTCTCTACGGTTTGTTGGCTGTGACTCTGGCTAGCTGGAACACTGTCCTGCCGCTGGCCGTCAGCAGGACTGCAGCCATCTATGCTAGGATAATGCTCCCTCTGCCCCTGCTGAGTGGTGCTGCTGTCTGTTTGACTATGGCCTCTTGTCCCATCTTTTGACTTGCTGTCACGCTGCTGGCACTGTCTGATCTGGCCTAATGTGATTTGGAGCTCATTGAGGCGCTGTGATACATGGCGTCTCTTCAGTTCCAGCAGGATTGTTCCATTACGACTCAGGCTTGGCATGCTTGTTGGTGTTGCCCTCTGTGAAAGGATACATCATAGAGAATGTATTGTAGATGATGTGTGGTAAAAGATATAAATGAATTCCTGCACAGAGTCTCAAGCAACGATGCAAATATGCAAATGTAACGCACATCATACTCATGCATATTGATTCACACATTTTTCTTAAGTCAAGGCTAAACAGGAGCAAATGAACATCGCACATGAAAAGTGAGATAGAGTTAAATAACATATTTCATCATGTTGACATTTGTAGGAAATAAAATACTAAGAGATCATTTCTAGGCTTTCAAAAACACAATAAAATTAACATGCAGATGAATTCTTTGGATTATGTAATTATATATGCAATGTGTAATATTCCAGCTAATTACCTCAGCATGGTTGCCAGCACTGTTCTCTCTCTCCTTTAGCCGTGCACTCATTTGAGCTCGCTCTTGTAGCTGCACACTCAGCTGCAAGAAAGACTTATTCATGCTGTCAATTTCTTCCTCTATACAGGACATCTGTAATGGAGGAAATAGTGAATTAACAAGAGTGGTGCTTAAAGGACACTGACTGCTATCTTAAATTAAGACAGTTTATGATTTTATAATAGAGTGTTACCTGCATCGGTGTCCCTTTTGGTGGTAAACCTGCAGAAATTAAACTTCATTAAAGAACTTTGATTCTTTAGAATTGAAAAAATTAAAAATATCTTAATGGAATCTTTATTGATGGAAAAGACACAACAACTGAAACACCCAATAATAAATGATTACTGTGTATCTAGCAGAAGCACCACCTATTGCGTTCAGAATAGCTTCAGTGCTCATTGGCATGCTGTCATTAAAGTCATGAACTGTGTGTACTAGGATATTGGACCATTCTTCTGGAACAAAAGCTCTTTAGTTGATGAAGGAGGTGAAAATCGACTTCATTCTTTTTCTCCCCAGGACTTCCTATTTATTATTATTATTATTTATTCCTATTTAATGATGTTTAAATCTTATGACTGGGGAGCAATGGAAAAGCATCTGACTTCCATCTTAAATCACGATTAAATGTGTTCATTAGTTGATATGGCTGCATTATTGTTGTGAAATATGGGAATGTCATGGGTTTCACAGGATAGCTTGCCAATTCTGTTATGGATCAATGGCTGTAGGAATGAAAATGGCTAGTAAGACCTTAATAGATTTTCCATTGATCAAGGGTCAAGAGTTTGTGCTCCTTACACCAGGTTTTTTTTAAATCTTTTATAATATATCAATATACCAAGTTAAAAAAAAAAAAACCTGGTTGCTTGTTGATGCATGTCTGCTAAAATATTTACGTTGTTACTTGGCAGTGACAGATGCATTGTGTCAAATTTAAGGGTTTTGCACAACTTCTAAGGTTCAGTCAAGAACTTTTTTATTATGATATGTGTTTTTTTACAATGTTTTGGTCAAAGAAATATAATAATATTGATTTTGCATACTATATTACCTAACTGCGTCTTATTAGAAAGGAAGAATTTTCTTACCTGTGTGTTTGTCCTCAGCTGAACTCTGTTTGAGGGTTGCGATGAGCTGCTCTAACTTGAAATATTTGTATTTCTCCAGTCTAAATTGTAAGAAGAAAGTTAAAGGTTATTTAATCACATGATTTTTTTTAGAGGGGATACAACTCTCTGCTGAAGATTATACTTTCTCACCAACCTGCTAGCTAATAGGTGCTCAGTGAACTGTGTTTCAGTGGGAACTCTAATGTTGAGAAATTCATCAACTAATGCACCATGCTGCTCCTCTGAAGCATCAAATTTTGACTGTGAAAAGAAAGCATAAAAAGTTATCTGTCCCTACTCGTGCAGTATAAGTATGACGTGTGAGGCCTAAATAGCACTTACACACCTCTGTTGTGCTCCATTTGAAAGAAAAGTTGAACAGCTGAAGGCTTAAAGCTGAAATAGCCTCATGGAGAGCTTGCATAAAGCTCTGGGGTTTAGATCCTGGATAAAAGAAAAGAAAAACAAATATCATATTGTTTCCAAAGAAGATTAAGTACTACTGTGCTTTTAAAGATAATTACCAGAGCTATTATACTGAACTACACCACTGTTTCAAAAACATGACACCAGCTTGGGTCTCAAGACTCTGCTCCATTACTATCTGTCTGATTACCTGATGCTATGTGGGCCATGGACTCCAGAAGAGTAGCAATGAAATGTCCCACATGCTGAAGCTTTTCCTCTGATAGATAAAGGATTTGATTGGTTGCATCAAAATAAAAGTCCCTTGAGCATTGTGCCAGCAGAGCCTCATTAGAGGAAGATGGAGAACCAGGAATCGACTTGGCGAGCAACAGCAGCACACAAGGGAACAGGGGACAGTTTGCAAGCAACTGCATCACTTGGCAACCAAAAAGGAAGACGGCAGAGTGTTGAGGTGAGAGGTTGTCCAGTGCAGTCGGAATAAGTTGCCCATCATTGTTCTCCTGGACAAAATGCTCTGTAGTTGCTGAAACATATGACACAAATGTTTTACTTTTACTAATTTTAGGCTTCATATTTACCAAAATGTGTTGTTATATATTTATTATGACTTAAATTTCTTTGATTGAGGCTTTTTTTAATTATGTTTCTGTACCATGGTGGAGATGATGATTAGATTCAGCTGTGGTAAGTTCCTGTAAAGACTGTTGGATCTCTTGCAGGGTCTTGAATAGAGGAGATATGCAGACCAACTTGGACAGGTTGTGGTCACTTAGACAAGGAGCTGTGCTCTGTAGATGGACTGAGGAAAGACAGAATCATCTCACTGTGGTGACATAACATCCTGATTCTCTTGAAAAATTAAACAAACCTTTGCTCTTACCTGGTTCATGGGGAAGAGCTTCTGCTTTGGTCATATTCACTGATGAACACTGAGGACATAATTTAAGAGAGTAAATGATTGTCTACCTAATTACTTGATAGATATGCTACAAACAGAACAAATGCCACTACAGTACCTGCGTATAACACATGTTTGTGTCACCAGGTTGTGTGTATCCAGATTGTGGCTCACATTCCCTGGCATCATGAGGACCAGTATGACAGTACGGGGGACCAGACCCATCCTGGTTATGCCAACCTTCTCCTATCAGCCTGCATAAGAGAGCTTCCACTGATCTGAGAACAGCTCCCAGTAACGCTACAGAGGCCTCAGCTGGGATGATGGGGATGTTCAGTTCCATGCAAGAAATAGTTCAGAGAAAAACAATTAATAAGGGATGTAACATAGTTTTAAGCACAAGAACGGGTGATTTAAAGAGTAAAGAGTCAGGCAGATATGAGTCTTTTGGCCATTAAATAAAAGTATTTGAGCACTTGTGTGTTATACAGTCTGCCACACACAGGAATAGTGCAACATATTGGAGAAAACATTCTATTTTCAAGTTAAGTCAAGTCAAATTTAATTTATATAGCCCAAAATCACAATTTGCCTCGGGGGGGCTTTATACTCTGTACAATGATCAACACAGGACAAGACTCCCAGATTGGCAGACATACAACAGATGTCAAGAGTTCAAACCAACAAAATCACATTATATAAAGATTTTGATGACACTATGTCTGATACATGAAGATTACAAAATATGTGAAGAATGTGGATCCAGGAAGACACTGAAACAACTCCAGATGTCAATGTCCATCATGGAGACGTCTATTTACTTATTCACTTACTTGCCAAGAGTTAGATGAGAAGATCAATACCACTCTCATATCTGTATACTTCAATATAAAGCTGGAGTCAGCAGCCAGTTAGCTTAGCTTCGCATAAAGACTTGAAACAAGCTCTCATAAAGCTTTGAATGTTGGTTCTTTGTGCTAAGCTTAGCAAACCGGCTGCTGGCTGTAGCTTCATGTTTTATAGTACAAACATGAACGAACTATCGATGTTCTCATCTAACTCTCGACAAGAAAGCAAATAAGCATCCTTCCCAAAGCTTTGGAAAGATCAGTTGCTCTAATGAAATCACTTACTGTATCACTATCAAGTTTTTACCTTGTGTATCTCTCTCTCCTGCAGTGCTGTTAGATGGTTTATCCCTCATTTTATTATGGACTAGCAGCTCTTTAAGAAGACTAAGTTTTTTATGATCCATATTCTCAAAGACATTCTGAAAGAAAATAAATAATTTTATATGTTTTCTTGCAGCATTTGAGGCACACATTTTAAATATTACACATCTAATGGTTGATTCTTTCTTAACTAGAGTGAAACTCACCTTGAGTGTTTCAGTCTGTTGACAGATGTTTCTATAAAACTCCTGTGTGTCTTTGCGGTGTCGGGCCAGTTGTGAGGCTATGTGGAGGTTCTGATCCTCTAGTTTGTCATAAAGAGTCTTCACATTGAACTCCTCCAAATCACAACACCCTGACACACTTCCTAAATGGGAGCAGTCCATTTAAATAGGTAAGTTAGTGAAATAGTTGAAATAAAATAAAATAAAATCAACAGTGAAAGGCCTCAGCATGCCATCTCAAAGAACTAAGGAGATAATGCTCGTTATGAATGGCTGCACCTTGAAATCAAAATCTCTCTCAACTGGGCTCCATAATAATTCATTGTCTCTAGCTCTTTAGACTGTGTGGGGCAGAGCATGCAATGGATGATAAGTACTTGAATTAAAATTGCAGAAGCTAACTAGAGAGTTAGAGATAACAGCACAAGTCATTAGAGTGTGATATTAGCCATTATTTTCTTTATCATCAATCAAATGGGGAATAGGCTGTTAACTGCTACCTGGTCATGCGTGATGGTTTCATAATGACTAGGCCAATGGACGTTTAAACGCCCTATCAAGCTGCATGAATAATGCAATAAGCACTAAGTGAGAAACATTAAAGTCAACACAACCTCATGGTTCAAACATTATCACAGACTTGAAAGAAACAATAGAAAAATATATTGAAAACCAGTTAAATGAATAAGAGTTGCCAACATGTTTTTTTCGTGAAACCTTTTCAATTAATAATTTATGACCAGGTCATTGAAGTAGTGCAGAAAATATAAAAACAGATGGTTAAATTTAACCAAACCATGGTTGCAGAAAGTTAAGACGGATAAATAGGCTCAAGGCTGTCTTTAGTAGGCCTTAACCATAAAACTCTATATACTATGCGTTTAGCCATGCTATGCTTAGAATTTAGCTCAAAGCACTGAAGTACAGCTTCACAGAGCCACACAGTGAAGCAGTCGATGGTGAAATTCTTTGATCTCAGGTTACCTCCCACAGTACTCTTCCAGATGTATACAATAATATGTAAAAAAATAAATATGAGGAAATGGAAAAAAATCTTTGTAATCGTTTCAGCATATAACTGAATATAATTCACTAAATAATCTTTAGGATTCTATTGGAAAATGTCCACCACACCATTATTTCCTGACACTACTAATGTTACTTTAATGTGTGAGGGAGAAGTATCATGTTTCAGGAGGAAGGCAATAGCACAAGAGAATAAACAGTGAGCTTACCTCCTTTTGAAACAGCGGGTTCCTCAGATTCTGCTCCCTCTCCTACACCCCTACTGCCTAAGAAGCCACCTAGGCTTGGGACAACTATGCTGAAACACAAAGCCACACATTTTTATGTCTTATGTCATTTTACATATTTAATATAAAGAGGTTGACAAGAACAATGAGACAAAGATGAGGGTGACTTTAACATATATAACAAAGGGTACATACATAGTATGTGCCACAAGGACAGTGTCCTGACATGAAAAAACACACTATTAGTTCTTATAGCCAACAGACCTGTCTCCACTGCAAACACAATCCACTGGACAGAAGGGCTCCCCAAGGCTGCGCCACTTTGGCTTAGTCCTCCACTGGGAGACAAGTTTTGCTTTGCCAGGTCGTAGAACTAGCACTGTGGTGGTCACAACCACAACTACAACCAGCAGCAGACTCAGGATCCCTACACACAGTTAGCATTGTGTCACAATAAAACTAGGGTTAACCCATTATAAACATACACTTGCAAGATAAAATGTTGAGCAAACAGTTGGGATACACACCTGCTATAACTCCCCAGTCAGGTAGAAGGTTGAGTCTGTGCTGCTTGACAATGCCGTACTTGACCAGCTGTGCTGGGGTCATGGGCTGGAAGACGGAGGCCCGAGGGTCACACTCTGTCCCCTCCTCACTGACAACCACCACCATACTCCACTCGGGGACAGCATTATCAACAAACACATACTTCCCTGTTTCTGAAAACACATGGGCAAACCTGTGAAAAGGATCAGAGATGGAAGAAATGGTCACAAAATTGGATTTTAAATAATCAACACTTAAGACTCTAACTGCAGTATGGACTCAATGCTACCTTGTAGAGTTGAAGTTTGTCTGCGTTATGAGTGAATGCAGACGTCTGAAGGCACCAAAGTCCCAGCTGGGGTTACTGTTAAATAGGTGGTCTTTCTGATACACTGGGAAGTGGCTGAAATGGCGGTCTTAGGGATTTAAAATAAAGTTATTGCAAGATTACAGTGTTTACAACTGAAATAGATTACACCATCGTTATAAAACCAACATGCACGTAAACAAACTCAGCAGTACCAGTGTGGTTGATGGTGAGATGGAAAATGAGCATGTCGCCGGAGGACAGACAGGCGATGGGGTTGGGGATACGGGGAAGGACAGCAAAGTCGATGGCAGCATTATCATCATCCTCTGTGTCTCTCCTCTTTCTGGGTCTTGTATTTAGAAGTTCTATTGGTTCTGAGTTAAATCAGGGTTAAATCAATTAAATTGTCAACTATTTTCCTGTAAAATTATACTGGATACAGGAACTAAATGGTTTAATTAGAAAACTTTAAATAAAATTAATCAATGTGTCAGGTTAAGTTTAGTCACCTGACAGAAACTGATAGATGAGCTCTCGCTGTGTGGGAATCCAACCAAACACTCCTTCAGAGACAAATTGGAGTAGATGGATTTTACCGATGCTCCTTGCATGGATATCTGGTCCTAAGACATTCATTATGGTCTGGAAATAAACAGAAACAAGTTCAATAAGAACTGCTACTGCAGCACTAGACACAGCATATTACATAAATTCAAGAAAGAAAATGACAAAATATCAATAACTAGTTCTGAGATGGCTTTTGTCGTAAAACTGGCAGTGCATCCCTTTGCATACGACCACTGCACGTAAGTGTTTTCACCATATTGGAGAAGGAATAACATATAAAGATAAACTATGGCATATTGAGTTTCTACATTAGTTAGATATACAGTATATTTTCCTGATTACTGAATCTGGTATACACAGTGCTGACTTTGAAGTAAGAGGCTTGTTGTTGTCATAGAATATGTCTATTGTTGTGTAAATAATTTAACTTGTGTTTGTTTTCCATGGCTAAAACTGTAGATTATGGCAAAATGATGGTTCAATTTTAAACACAAAATGGTTGAAAGTGTAGATAAATGAAGAAAGAAAACTACATAAATGACAAAACATGCACATTCATTTATGATGAAACTAGTGAAAAAATCAAATTTCTTGCATGGAGAGAGGAGTTCATTATTTATCTCTATGCAATGATATCACAAAATCTGCAGCTGCAACATTTTTCCAGGTGTTGTGCTGAGTCTCTGAGACCAGATGAATTCCACGGCAAGCTTTCTGCCAACTAATCGATCTAGCCAGACCCAACAGTCTGAGAAGGTTTTTTGGCTGCATCAGTACAATACTAATGTTAGATTTGTACTTATTTTTATCTGGTGGTAGCAGCTTCCGAAAATCTGCTCTCTCACTTATATACACACATTTAGTGTAACTTATTAGTAAGTATAAGGTAAATGAAATCCATCTTGTAAGGCATAGCCAGTCATCAGTTTGCCATTGGCCCTGTCACTTCTCCCTTACCCTGGCCCAGACCATACTGTCTCTTTCTTTGAGGCTGAGCAGCAGATGTCCATCTCGGGAGAACTGGGCAGAGACCTGAGGCAGTCTGGAAAGGCAGGATGTGTTGCAAAGTTCTTCAGCAGACACATATCGCTCACACTGGCAGCTGGAGCACCAGGATCAGGCAGATAAGACCAGACACAGAAAGACACACAGCATATCAGGCTATTTACAAGATAATCATCAATATTGTCTTCAGGGTCATTTTTAAAGTAGTAGAATAGTAGAATAGTTAAAAAAATATAAGTTAGATTTACATGCCCATCTCCACATCCAGAGTTCCTCCATGTGGTCCACAGGTGATATTGCAGGAGTGAAGGGGGGGTGACACACACTCTCTGGATGCTGCCAGACGTACTTGTCCTGTGGAACACCGTCTGTTCGCCTAAAACACACACACACACACTGACATCTGAAAACTCTTCAAACCTTGACTTTGCTTGTCATTTCATCATTCATGATTGAAAACCAGTACAAGAGCATTTCTCCATCTCACACATTGATTTCGAAATCAATTTTCTAAAAAGAAATTATAAAGCAAAATCATTGCAAACAGGTCTCAGTAGGGCAGTGTTTTCCACAACTTCGATCATTTATTTGTGGTTTTCAACAGGCAGACTTTCAATCAATCCACACATTCAAGTGTATGTTCATGAAAACTTTTGAAAGGAATGGGAGTAAATATATTTGGATTAACTTTTCCAAAGAACACTGTGAAAACTTGATACTGTAATTGACAGCAAAAAGAATAATATTCCTAATTTTTGATTGACTGACCTCAGGCTGGCAGTCCAATTCACTGTCAGAGGTAGAGCTTTTGAAATCCAGTTCATTGTAGAAGATAAAACCAGTTCTGCACAAACATGAACCATCCGAGTGCTGGAATGCTCGGTTCTTACCAATACAGGTACAAGAAGAAGAACCTGAGGAAACAGGTGTGAGGCGGCATCCCAATGTAATCAACAGAGATACTTTCCTGAACAGATGAACAACTCTTCTAAAACTGTAACTTGAAAATGATTTAAAAAAAATAATAACCAACATATAATTTGTTCAGATAAAATAATTGAATGTGGTCTCAGTTATCGTATAAGATCTAACCTGCTAGTGAGGTGGAGGAGCTGCCACAGGGAAAGCAGGCCTTCTGAGCAGGCAGATGGTTGAAGGTGCCAGCTGGACATAGGTGACAGTCGCCCATTGTTTCAGCATGAGAGAGGTTACCAAAGGAGCCAGGGGGGCAGGGTACTGGTTGAGTGGATCCCATGAGACAGACATACCCAAGAGGGCAAGGATTATTTTTGTAGTGCTCTGTACCTGTTGAATTAAAAGAAATGCACACCTCATTTGGAGTTAGGCATGAAATAACAAATTGCACACATAAATTAAGATCTGAAATAACTTGTGGTGGTGAGTATAGTACCTGGGGGGCAAAAGTATCCTGGTGGACATGGAAGGCATTGTAGGATGGAGGAGAGGTACAGACGATAGGTGCCCCCCTCACACAAACTACAGCAGCTGTTTTTGGATCCTCTGAGTCCACTGGTGTTGACAGGCATGGAACCCCCTTCGCAGGACTTCATGGCAGAGCTGTTGGCTGGGCAGTAGTAGGGAAATGGACAGCTGTAGGGCATAGTAACAAGGTTATTTATAAAGCTTTAACCCACACCATGAAGAAAGTCCAAACCCATTATGCTTTCATCGTCTCATCAGTTAAAGCCTCTCATTACCATGTTAGTCTTACAAACATGTGTTTGCACGCCAGGTTTCATGCAAGGTTTTAGTGTATTGGACCTTTCATGCACTCACAGTTGTTTGGGGTTAAGGTATGAATGGGATCCCTCAGGACAAATATAACCTTCAGGACAGACTTGGGGCTCTGCAGTCTGAGGTCTACAGTATGAGCCAGCTCTGCACAGCCTCTCTGAGACTGCACCTGGATTATGAGCAAAAACTCATTACTGGAAAACCTTATTCCTGTCTTTAGGGAGAAAGACACTTATTACAGTAAAAGATTCAAAGTCATCACACACAAAATGTAATATGCTATGCTAACATTATAAACTGTGTTGATAAATGTACCCATGGGGCATTCATAGGAGGCCCTGCAGGGGATCCCCTCTACATTGGGCTTTCCTGTAGCCCAAGGATCTGGGCAGAAGGTTCCCCCTGTACAGGGTTCACACTGGCTGGGTGAAGCAGCTCCAGGAAGGGGTCGCTTAGTGCCTGCAGGGCAGAGGATGGGGGGTCCAGAACCACTGCACCAGAAACCAGGTGGGCAGGGACTGTTGGAATAGTCTGTAAGCCCTGGAAAATAAAGAAAGAAGCAGAGAGAGGGAGACCATATGCTGGGCATCAACCATTAGATAAAGGTTATATAACGTTAAGTTAATTCTTTGTAAATCCACCACTCAACTACTGTAGCCTCAGGTGTCACAGATTGTGTATTCATTGTCACAATCACATTATATATACATATACATATATACAGGCTCAGGCTATTATAATAGTCTGAATACATACTGAAATTAATAAAACCTTGTAAGGCAATTTTCTTTGAACTGTCCTTGCAAATGTGAAAAAAAGCCACCAGAGAGAGTATTAAGGTGTATTTTACCCTTCATTATAGACACAGGATATAGCAGAATGGAAAGAGGGGGGTGGAAACACCTTTAATGGAAAGGAATCAGTTACATTTATAGATGTAATTTCAGTTTATCTTTTAATTAGTGGGTCTGTTGTGTGAGATGCAGTGTTTCAGACCTGTGCTGTTACAGTGTGAACCAGGAGGGCAGGGCAGGCAGTCACCCTTGCTGCCTGCTCCAGGGGAAACTCGATAGGTGTACAGAGGACATGGTCTGGGTCCTGTCACTTCACTGAAGTCACTGCCAGATACACCATCACAGTAATGACCAGCAGGACACAGATGAAGGACTAGCTCTCCTGCAAACAAACATTTTAGGAAGAAAAAAAGGTTTCAGATATTCAGTGAAATTGTTTGTTGCCACATTCGTTACACTCTTGCTTATCTGTTGAGGAATTCATTTCAATACTTTATTGATCCCTTTTAAGGCTGATCAAGTGTTTGCCTCAAGCTCCATTTCTGACGTGTTAACCCTGCATGAGCCCAGGCTTAATCATTATTCTCAAGGCAGCGCTCTCCTGGCTGTTTCTAATTCACAGCCTGTGGTTTTAACTGTACTCCTGCTGACATCTACTAATACTCAGTTTACACATGAAACATTCAGTGACTGCATTTAACTACCTGGTAGGATAACGAGCAAGCTGCTTCCCAAGCATTACTATTGAAAATTACTCATTTAGGTCAAAGGAAAAGAAATACTTATATAGAGAGCTCCCAAACTATACAATGTTCTCCCTGCTTTGATTGTCTGAATCAATTTATCAATCTCAGCCATTCCTTTTCATCACTACTCAGAACCAATTTGTCCAAAAAAGCCTCTTCATAACTTAATTTTGCAATGTATCCAGAATTTTTACCGGATTACAGTAGCTCTAAAAAGACTTCTAACCACTCACATACAAAGACCATTGATAGCTCATACCAGGTTTACACCAATGCTGAGGTGGGCAGGATAAGCAGTCTTGTAGGCTGGCACCTCCTGGGGAGCTTCTGAAAGTGTTTGCAGGACACAACACAGCCTTCTCTGTGCCCTTAGGGCAGTAGAAACCTGGTATAAACATAAATGCATTAACAATTTATTTTAAATTGTTAAAATGATTAACTCTCCAATCTCAAAAGTCAAAGAATCTAAAAATAAAATATGAAGATATGTGAATAAAAATGGATCAATTACAGGTAGCATTTAGGTTGTTCTATTTTTAAAGAATTGATATAGTACCTAGTGGACATAGACCAGCACACTGCATGCCCCACTGGCACTGGGTCAAGTTAGACATTGGTCCCTGAGGGGTGAAATCTGCACTCCCAGAGACACAAAGATAGCCTGCAGCACATACACCCTGGATTCTTCCAGCCCTGAAGAAAAAATACACAGGGTTAATTTACCCACAAAACCACAAAATACAATGCATACACACAGAAACACATTTAGACACAAGAGCATTTAGAAGGCACTAAAAAGTATGCTTCATTAGATAAATAGAACGACAATTACATAATTTCTAACATTTTCACCTCCCATATGCATATCTGAGTCAATTATGTTCATGCATATTAAGGCGTTAATTTGGCTGTTCAGTGAACAGTGACTCCTGAACATGATACACTCCTGTATTCCTGTATTCAGCTAATTGTGAATATAATTAAAGCAGAGATCAGTGTTTGCCTTTGAGCATGTGTCTGTATGTGTATGCATGAAGACAGGATGCACATGTGTCTGTCTAATTGTGTGTCTGTCTGTGTACATTTCAGAGCTTGTGCATGCACACACAGGAGCTGTGATTCATGTACCTGCAGAACTTTCCTGGAGGGCATGGTAAACACTCTCTCTCTTCTTGTAGCCCTTCCTGGTTTGAATGAGTGTATGTCCCATTAGGGCAGGGCTGAGGCACCATGGTGCCTATAAAAAAAAAAGATCCATTAAAACAACATGATTTATTACATAGCAATTACTAAAAGAGTGTTTTTTTGCAGTAAAACATATAACTTAGACTCCATTTTCAAGTATTGTTTGTGTTGTTTGTGATGGTTAATAAGCCTATACATAAATTACATAAAGTTTCCATTCACTGTGGTCAAAATTGTGCTTTTAGAATACCTGCAGGGCAGAATGAGTGTGGTGGGCATGGCCATGGCTCTCCCACTATGGCCTCCTCACAGTAGAATCCAGGTCGGCATGGGATGCAGCTATCTGAGCCTGGGTTTGGCTGGTACTCTCCTGTGGGACAAGGCAGGGCCAGAGCAGAGCCTTCTGGACAGTAGTGGCCCTATGAGAGAATGGAAATGACAAAGGTGCATCTGAGGGGTGGCATTCAGTGCAGCAGGACATTAATAATAAACAACACGGCACAAGCGTCTCTAGAAAAAAAAGAAACTGTTAGGAAAACAATAAGAACAATGGAAAAAGGGAGGACAGGGAAGGGAATTCAGAGAAAAAGAATTAAAGAGTATATGAATAACCCTTACCTTGGGACAGAGGAAGGCATACGGGGTGGTTGAAGCAAAGTCAAAAGGGCAGAAGAAACCAGCAGCACAGGGGCCACTGGGGTTGGCAAGACCCTCAGTGGAGCAGTAGTGACCTGCAGGACATGCAGTGCAGCTCTCCATGGACACACCTCCTATGACAGCAGGACAACGGATACCAGTGAGGGTTACAGAGATGTAGATCAGATAAAGATATGATATTAATATCACACAATGATATGAAAATGCATGCAAATTTCATGTTGGGTGTAAACAGTATGTGTACCAGTGGTGTTGCGAATACTGCCAAGAGGGCATGGAATTGGGGAGAGGCACCCTGCTTCACAGTAGTGGCCCACAGGGCAAGGGCCATTCCTGGGGAAGTAGTCAGAGCTCTGCGGCGTTGGCTCCATGGCTCCACCTTGACAGAAATAACCCTGCAAACAAGAACCTTGACAAAAATACAAACACACAATTTATTTACATGTTACTAAATGGTTTAAGCAGTGTAATGGTATGTACATTTTCCTAAAATGACCTTGTGGTGTTGAGGCTCCATATGTGCTACAGTACACTCCAGAGGGGCAGGGTGTGCAGATGGAGAAAGAATGGGCTCCTGTCTGGTTGCTGAAAGTCCCTAGAGGGCAGGGCTGAGGCAGAGCTGTCCCAGCAGGACAAAAATGACCTAGGAAGAGAGTACTTATTAAATATTGGTTTATCAGTAATGCAGAATTAGACATTTGACCACTGGACAGTATTGATGCTACATTTAAAACTGGTTAAAAAAAAAGATTTAAACCATACACACCAGCTGGGCAGACAGAGGGCTCTTCAGTGGCTGAGGAGGAACACATGGTCCCTTTGGGGCATATTACACAGTGGGCTGCTCCAGGGGCAGGACTGTAAGTGCCAGGCTGACAGGGCACCTCACTTGATGAGCCAATAGGACAGCTATGGCCAGCAGGGCAGAGATAGCCATGGGAACCATCAGGTGGGGTGGGACTGGTGCTTCCAACCAAGCACACATGCCTGTAGGCATAAACAGTGAAAACAAACTTCATATAACAAATATTGCCACACGCTGCTATTAGACAGGTTGAACAATTTGTCAGTGAAGAAATATAAGTTTTGAAAACATTGCACACAGCATATCTTGACCACCGGTGTCATAAGGCCACTTCAAATTTAAAATGATGGTTATTAAAATTACTGTATTGGTTTTGCAACGTTTAAAGCTCTTGGACTGTGCCCCAAAAAGTAATTTATTAGGCAGATTTTCAATGGTCAAAATTCCAATTTACAATAACTATTTTACTGCATTTAGACAACATGATTTGATACACTGAAAGTTAAATTAGTAAATTTTCATTCAAGAGAATAAGTGCTTAATTGCTTAATTAATCAAATTTGATTAAATGAAAGTCTAACCTGTTAGACTTAGTAAACAGTTAAACACAATAAATATAACCAAGAATTGTAAATTAACTATTAACACTACCCAGTGTGATACTTTAAAATTTCAGTAATATAATTATTCAGAAGAAAGCACTTTTAGCTGCTAAGTATAGTGTGTTTCCAGAAAAAAAATTACATATGCTTTAATAACTATAGTGATTATTGTCAGATACAATAAAACTAATGTTTTATGGCTAAAATGTCTTTGAATTGCACTAAATTTTAATTCTACTTCCCATAAGGCAAACCAAATCTTTTTATTCACAGTTTATAAACTGAACAGAAATAAACTCTGATTCTGAACCCTTGGCAAACACATTTACTGCTCCAGGTGCTTTAAAGTGGGTTTTATCTCTGAGTATTTACAGCAGAGCATATTTGCAACCAAATGCAACATTTAGCAAAGTGTTTTAAGTGTGGATCTTGTCCTGCTGAAGACACCTGCTCCCTTTGCTGCTAAGTCGGAACAGACTCTCATGTAAAAGACATCTGCTGTCCTCAATAATCTTTCTGAGTTTGTAGTTTATGTGAATACTGCCTTGTGATAGATTTTTGGAACACCAGACCTCTTGCTGGCATATTGAACAGGTCCTTTTAATCCATGTATAAATCCTGTGCATAAATCCAAAAACACTTTCAAGCAAAAAGACGAGAACACTTTGCATTAGAAATTAGGAGATACTGAAAGAGGGAGAGACAGACAGGGAGAGATAAGAGACGAAAAACAATTTTACAGCAAAACAATTTTCTTGTCCAGTTTCTATTCAGGTTCAGATGGAAACAGTCAAGTGAAGAACATGAATAAAACTGTGTGTCCACTCAGAGTGGGGAGCTTTGAAACTGAAAGTGTTTACCCAGCATGACACGGGAGAGCATCTGAGAGCTCTGCTATTGCAGGCCTGTCACAAAACAGTCCTGGGGGGCAGGGTGGGCATTCATCAATGTGCTTCAGTCCTTGGGAGATGGAAAGAGTTCCTGTGGGGCAGGGGAGTGGATAGCCAGTGCCAGGGGGGCAGAAGTGGCCAGAAGGACAAATATGGCCTCTGGTCGAATTCCCCTGAGAAAACAAAAACATGATAACATCAATCACACCTGTGTTTTTCATGTTATCATATCCTAAGAATGCATATTATGTAAACCATGCATGCATTAACCCATTTTAAAGTCTACTAATGCCCTGAGGTCTCTCAAAGCTGAAGTGTTTATTACACCCCACAATACAAAATGATCTCAGAGCCTTAGGAGTGGGATTGAAAATATGATGTGATAGGATCATGTGGTCATTTCATTAAAAAAAACTTATTCTCCTTAGAATAGAAATGGGCTCAGCAATAATGCAGTATTTATATGTTATTATGCAATATGTTGTGTGTGAAGTTGACATTTTTTCCCTAGGGAGGATATTGAGGAAAGCTAATGGAGTGACAAAATTGGGGAGCAGAAATGTGTTCAGTGAAATCTATGGTAAACCCACAATTAGCTTTTAATAATTCTTGTGTATCACTGGAAATATAGGCTTGATGGTAGCGCTAGAGGAAAAGAGATTCATCGTCAAAGCACCATCAATAACCACAGCAAATTTCCCGTAAATGCGGCTGGTTCTTATCTTGTGTACAAAGCTAATGGTGCTGTTTGAAGAAATATATTGGGCTGAAAAACAATAAAAGCAAGGAGCATGAATGTGCTTAGTCAATCTAATCTAATCAATACTAATCATATTTTGATTATATTTCTTGTGGACAAAGGGAAATTTTGACATGAAGTTTCATTAGATGGAAGGTCATCAGGTCACCAATATAATTTTGAATCCTTTTCTGGGAACAAGGACCTGCTGATCACCATCCCCAGGTTACAGACCAACAGAGGCAACAGAGAACAATAACAACACCTGATACTCAGTGGAGTTAGGACTGGTTGATCCAGCAGGACAGTAGAACCCGGCCTCACAGAGTCCTGTTGGCTGGGACAGACCAGGTTGAGAGCAGAACATTCCTGCAGGAAACACCAACAGAATAAAGAAATCCTCATAAAGACTTGAGACACACTGATTTGACTGTGTACAAGTATTTCTTTTTTTTAAATTTAATTAGGGTTAGATTGTGATGATGTAGATCAAGACACCAATAATTTCCATACCAGCAGGGCAGGGCAGGCAGGCCTCTGGACTGGAGGCTCCGAGCTGGCTCTGCACAGTGCCACGTGGGCAAGGGAACTGCAATCCTACAGTCAGTCCTGGAGGACAGTAGTATCCGAAGGGACACAGTGCAGGTTGTACAGTACCTTCGACTGAGCCACACCAAGAAGGATTAATAAACACAGGTGATATCTGCTGAGACCAATAAAATTAACAGCAAAGTGTTTGACTTTGAAAAGATACAACTTTATAATTAAAGACACTGACACTCTGACACTGTAAAATCAGTTGTCAGTTAGATTAACTAAGGTAAAGTGAGATGTAACTTCTATTTTAACTTGAGACGTATCAGCTCTGCTTCAATTAGTAAAACCATGTGTTTCCCAGAATGACTTTGGACAATCCCCATAGAATCAGTGTGAATTTGTTCTTTTCATTAAAAAGTGAACATATGGGCTTGTAAATATTCGGTAGCTAGCTTGTCAAGGATTTTTGTCCTTTCAACATGTCTGTGATCAAAGCTGTGTCTGTTATTAAAACAACTTATTAAAAACATATCCTGTGGCTGTACTGCATGCTAATTTTTTGTGACTGCTGGAAAATAAATAACAATGTCTACCCCCCCAGTGTATGGGTTCCTCTGTGTATGATTGCTGAATATAGAAAAATGCTCCTGCTCTTCTTGCAGAAGATAAGTCTAAACAGAGATTTTTAGAAGTGGGCCTTCACACGGGGGCTCTAACCTGTTTAAGGGGAGGCTCAGTGAAGGAAAGTGAACAAAATATTACATTAGTTATTAGCTATCAAAACTATATCACATAGAATCGCCCAAATGTGTGTCATTTAGTTAAAGAGATAGTTCAAACATATAGTAGTTTTAGGGAAATTGTACTGTTTTTCCCACTTTCCCAGAGTCAGAAAATAACAAATGCCTTACAACAGACCTTTTTTTATATATTTGGTGTAGTCTGAAGTAATGTCAAACAGTAATATCTTATCTTAATTGTTGAGATCAAATAACATAATCATGATCCCATAGGCATCCAAGAATTGAGCGAAACTAAACAAGTCTGAGGGGAGGCGCACAGTCTCAGACTTTGAAACCCCTGCTCCAGGACAATCTATGTTTCCTACCTTGACAGTAATATCCAGGGGTACAGGTGGTACAGTTGTCTTGATGTGTGTTGCCTGTCTCAGAGCTAAATGTTCCTGCAGGACAAGGCATGGGGACAGGTGTTCCACTGGGGCAGAAGAACCCAGCTTGGCACAGAGCCTCATTTGCTCTGCTAGAGCCCCAGTCACAATAAAACCCTGCCCAGCAATCACCTAGAGCACAAAACGGAAAACAACAGATGTAAATGGAGGATATTATTTTTTTAAATTAATCAAATCAGCAGCATCTGCATTCAAAATAGAAACTTACTGAGAAACCTTAACAATAATTTTATCATCCGAGGACTTAAGGTGTCTTTTATTCCATTTACCTGCTCTTAGCCCCTGTTGGCAGAATATCCCACGTGGACAGAGAGATCCAGTTCTGTTGTCAGTCGGGTTTGGTACTGTAGCTCCCATCAGACAAAGAAATCCAGCAGCACACACTCCTGAAGGCTCAACCAAACCTTCAGACCCACAAAACTGACCTACTGGACACACTAGGCACTCACCTGCAAACACAGATTGACAGCTTTGACCTCAGCCCAAACAGCAAAACAAGCTACCTGCCAGGACAGATCAATCATCAGGTCTGAGATAGTTGGACACTGCTAGAAGTGCCAATGTCTTAAAGCAAACTAAATTAAGGAAGATAATTTTAAGGGAAAAAAATACTTTCTGATTTAA